AGTGTGTGACAGAAATAACCAGTGATTGGCCTGGCCTTTCCCTTAAAGTCTGCAGGTACCCAACCTGGGTTTGGGCTGCCAGCTCCACGCTGCAGCTCAGCCTCTCTCTGTGGGCAGATGCAGTGAGTCACGACCCAAACCGGCCTGCTTCCATCCCTGAGACCCCTGCCATGCTGCTCAGGCTGTGCAACTTGGCAGCAACACCTTTAGACTCCTTGAGAGCCCAGGTCTCAAAAACCAGCCCAGCCCTGGAAGTTTTGTCTTGCTTTTTGTTTGCTTTCCTTCCAAGAACGCCAGCTCCTAAGAAGGGCACGTCTGCCACCTGCTGACTGTGAGCAGCATGACACCTGGCTGTCACTCAGGATTCCGCTAGAGCCAAGACTTGGGGATCTGGCCCAGATACAAGTCCTGAAGGGCCCTTTCCAGCTGGGACCTGAGGAAAGATGTCCTCTGAGGCCCTCTCTCCATCCTGCCCATTTCTCAGGGCTGACAGTAGCCAGGTGTGCCTGCCTATTCAGCTCAAATAGTAAACTTCATCGGGTATCTTTTTTTTTCAAAGAGAGATTTTTGCTTTAGGGTGCATGCACTCGCAGAAAGATAGAGAGAGATAGACAGAAAGCGAGAGATCTCCACCCAGGGGGACCAGCAGTTGGCATAATGGTTATGTCGCTGGACTCCCAGGTAGTCGACCGCGGTTCAAGTCCTGGACCCAGTAGCTTAAACTCATGCCAGGCTGGACCAGCAGCTACCATAATAGCTATGTCGCTGGACTCCCATGTGGTTGACCACAGTTCGAGTCCCAGACCTGGTGGCTTAAAACTCACACCGGGCACGTGTTTGTGCGTGCCCATGATCCCAAGAGGAGAATGGAAGAGAAGGGATTGCGGCGTGGCCATCCTCCCTGGGGGGGGGATTTCTCCCGTTCTTTACTTTCTGTCTCTCTGTCTCTCTCTGTCTGTCTGACAAGCCCACGTGCCCTATGGCAAAAACCTCTCCAAAAAAATAAATAAATAAAAATAAATAAATAAACTCACGCCGGGTGCATGTGCGTGTGTGCCCAAGATCCCAAGAGGAGAATGGAGGAGAAGGGATTGCAGCATGGCCATCTCCGCGGGGGGTGAGTTCTTGCTTTCTGTCTCTCTGTCTCTGTCTTTCTGGTGAGCGCATGCGCCCTATAGCAAAAACCTCTAAAAAAACAAAAAAGAGAGCGATTCCCCTCCCCCCAGGGAGGATGACCATGCCACAATCTCTTTTCCTCCATTCTCCTCTTGGGATTTTAGGAACGCATGCACGTATGCCCAGCGTAAGTTTCGAGCCACCAGGCCTGAGATCTGAAATGCCATTGACCATGTGGGCGTCCAGAGCCTTAACCACTATGCCACCTGCTGGCCCCTTCATCAGATATCTTTTTAGGATTTAGGGAAACAGGTAGAGAGGGATGGGCCCTTGTTCTTGAGGGCATACTCCATGGAGGGAAGGTGGGAAAGAGCACAAAGACCAGGTCCAAGGCACAGTTGGCTGGCTGTGATGAGGGCGAGACTGACGAAGAGGCAACATCAGTCCTTGGGATCCCTTCATGCCCCTCTTTTGGCACTATCCTGGGACCCACATCCAGAGGAAGGATTAATTTCAGACACTTCCTGTTCAAGCAAGCATCCCAGACCCGGGAACATCCCGAAGACCTGAACTGCCAGGCTGCCTCACTACTGAGCCCACTCCCACCCCCCAATCAAAAGCCTGTCCCTTTCTCACTCCCTGCAAGAACAGGGCAGGAGGACAGAGAGGTGATTAAACTGAAGCTCAGTTCTCGGTAACAAATGGTTTCTCTTCCTATCTTTGCACTCCTTTCCCTTCCCCAACATTTTATTTTGACATTTTTCAAACCTACATAAAAGTGGAAAGAATAATGCAACAAATACCCTTCACCCAGTTAGATGCAACAATTATTAACATTTTGTCACATTTGATTTCTAGGACATTTTCTACAAAACCACAAAAACCATTTTCCATCCACTGTCTAGAAATTCAACATTGACATAATAATACTATCAAAGTCTGTATTCAAATTCCTCAATTGTCTTTAAATATCCTGTATAGCTGTTTGTTCATTTGTTTGTTTGCTATTTCTTTTTTGCCATAGGGTACATGCACTTGCCAGAGAGAGAGAAAGAGAGAGAGAGAGAAGGATGAGAAATAACCCCCCTCAGGGGGGATGGTGATGCCACAATCCCTTTGCCTCCATTCTCTTCTCAGGATTCTGTGCACACACACACACACACACACACACACACACACACACAAACTCAGCATGATTTTCAAGCCACCAGGTCCAGGACTTAAACCGTGGTTAGCCATGTGGGAGTTTAGAACCTTAACCACCACGCCACCTGCCAGCCCTCCTTTATATATATATGTATATATATATATATAAAATCTGGAATCTAATCAAGGATTAATACTACATTTAGTTGTTATATCTCTTAATGAAGAACAATCCTCCCATCCTTTTTGTCTTTCTGATGTTGACAGTTTTGTGGTGTCTAGGCTCCTTGTTTTATAGAATGCCCCACCATTTGGATCCCTTGTGATCCTCATACACAGATCCAAGATAAGCAAGATGGTCTAGAATACTATTTGTTGATGTGTCCTCAGTACATCGTATCAGGATCCATTCTTTCTGTTTATATCACCTGCCTACTTCTCAAAATAGTTTAAGAAAGACTATCATACAGAGGATTAAAACTTCTTCTGGGGAGTAGAAGAAGAAAATACACCAAACTGTCCAGACTGATGTGGTTACTGGGAAGATGCGTCATGTTGATCTCAGCTTTCTGGCAGCCAGACCAGAAGGGAAATCTGTTCAGTGACAGAAATCTCCTTCCTTTCTTTCTTTCTCTCTTTCTTTCTTTCTCTCTTTCTTTCTTTCTTTCTTTCTTTCTTTCTTTCTTTCTTTCTTTCTTTCTTCTTTTTCTTTCTTTCTTTCTTTCTCTTTCTTTCTTTGTTCTTTCTTTCTTTCTTTTTTAAGAGAGATTTTCGCTGTAGGTTGCATGCACTTGCTGAAGAGACAGAGAGACAGAAAGTGAGAAATCACCCCCTGGGGAGATGGCCACACTGTAATCCTTTCTCCTTTAGTCTCCTCTTGGAATTTTGGGCATGCACATACAACTGGCGTGACTTTTAAGCCACCAGGTCTGGGTCTCGAATCGTGGTCCACTACGTGGAAGTTCAGCAACATAACCATTACACCATCTGCTAGTCCCAAAATCTCATTTCTTAAATCAGAGGTCAGCAAACTTTTCCCATAAAATGCCAGGTGGTCCATATTTGGGGCTACACTTTCTCTATCACAAGTCTTTTGCCATCACTGTAAGCCACCATAAGCATTGAGTCAACTAATGGTTGTGTTTCAATAAAACTTTATTTACAAAAACACAGCTGCAAGGTTTGGCTCAAGGGCCTTAGTTTGCAAAACCCTGATTTAAGTGAAAGAATATATTTCAGAAATTAAATGGGTAACATTGGCTTTTTCTGCTGAGGTACTGCATTCTGAAAGAAACTGTCCATGTAGTGTTAGATCGTTAGAAAAGGCATGACATATTTTTCTATGCAAAAATGCCTCATGACTTTTCCAATGACCCAATAGTTTATTTAGCAAAAACTTTTTAAGTATTGCAATGTGCCAAGCACTATGCTAGATACTGAATTATCCAGCAATGACAGAACAGCCACTTTCCCAGGCTTTCTGGAGGACAGTCAGCATGAAAGACAGAAGACATGCAAATAAACTAATATAAAACTCCAGGCTGCAATAAGGACTATGGAAGAATGGGTGGGTATAGTTACAAAATAACAAGGGTGAGAGAGGTCATGTGGATAGGTGTTCAGGGAAGGCCTCCTTGAGAAGATGACACTTAAACTGAAACCTACTGAAGGTCCTGGGGGAGGGCTCCTGGGCAGAGGAAACAGCTAGTGCAAAGGCCCTGAGGCGGGAGGAACTTGGCTTGCACTATCTTGAAGCCAAACTCAGCTGGAGCTTACTAAGGAGCAGTGTGAGAAAGGTATATGGCAGGAAGTTCACAGGCCATGGCAGGTGTTTGGATTTTATTTCAAGAACAATGGAAAGTCATTGGAGAGGTTTAAGCATTCATTCATCCTGAATCCCCACGGGCTATTACCCAAGGAAGTCTTCCAGTCTTGAGCATGAATCTTAATGCTATCACAGCTGTGTGACCACAGAGCCCCAACTTTCTCACCTGTAACCAAGGTGAGACTAATACAAGGGGATCTCAGAGAATTTGTGGAAAACTGCAATTAAAGTATGAATTTATTTTGGTGCAAAAAAAGTTTGGAATCCACACAGTTTTGTTTTAACAATATACATCCTTTTCTTTTTTTTGGGGGGGGGTAAGAATTATTTTATTTAACTTTATTTGTTTTATTTTGACCAGAGGAGGACAGAGTGAGAAAGAGAGAGAGAAAGTGAGAAAGCAAGCCACCAGGTCTGGGACTCAAACCATTAGTTGACCATGTGGGAGTCCAGCACCCTTAACCACTATGTCACCTGACAGCCCCAACTATACACATCCTCTATGAAATTTTGAAGGCCCCTTATACAAATATATTCATAAGGATTTTATAAGAATAAGAGAACAAGCAGGCAGAGAGTAGGTTGTAATCTTTATGACCAAGAGGAACATTAACATCTGGGCAGCCACGCCCCACCGAGGAACAGACTAGCACAATAGCCCAGGTCCCCACTGAGGAGGAAGGGCGGTGCCTCAGAGCTCAGCAAGCACAGGAGTGCAGGCGGTGGTGCAGGCAGTGTTTTCATATAACTCCTACCTGACCCCTCCAGCCCTGGTACAGCTGCAGCCCACAGGAAGCGCTCAGCACTCCTGCATCCTGAATATGCTCCTCCAGCTTCCACAAGCTCCAGCAGGCGCCCAGCTGGCTCAGCCCAACCCCTCAACCTTGCCCTCTCTGTTTATCTTGTCTTTCAGTTCTCCCTGACATCTTTACTTGAAGACCTGGACCCAGGTGAGTGTGCTGACTACCAATAACTGGCCGGTCTGGGCAAGAGGAAAACAGGCTGGGCAAGAGGAAAACAGACCCAAGCTTGGTAGAGTTGGAAGGAGCTTGGGATTCAACTGACTCAGGAGTATCCCAGACACCTCTGGGAATTTGCGTAGAAAAATTGCATACATTCAATGTGTTCCATAATTTTGAGCTGCCCAGTGACACCTCTAATTCCCAGTCTCAGGACCCCAAAGGAAAAAACTGCTAATGTAGTTAAAATCCTTCATTTTATAGAGAAGGCAACTGAGGCCCAGAGAAGGAAAGCATCTGATCTCAGGTCACACAGCGCATTGATGGCTGAGATGAGATGAAAAGGCTGAGGCACAGCGAGGATGTGACTGAGCAGAGACTGGCTCCAGACAGGCTGGCCTCATGCCACCCTCACTCAGCCCACCCATTTGGAGGGAAGCCATCATCTCCAGCAGGCAGCTTCTAGCCCAACCCACTCCTGTGATGGCCTGTCTATTACAGGCTCACCCTCTCACCTTTCACTTTCTACTTCTTCTGCCTGGGGCCCAAAGCCCTACCAGGTCCGGTAGGCATCTCCTTCCTACCGCCCTGTCTGGTAGTGATCTCTGGCTCTGGGCCCGAGCCTCCCTTTGCTGCTCTGAGACCAGCAGGTCCCTTTGCTGATGGCCATACCATCATCCATACATGGAGTCAAGGGAGGGCCAAAGTCAAGAGGTGGGAGGAGCTGCCCCTCCCCAGTCTTGATACAGATTGCTCGGGCACCATTAAAGGGGCTCCTCAGTTCTGGTGTGAGAGAGACAGAGCTGCAGAGACTGTGGGGAGACATAGCAGAAGAACGGAGGAGCTCAGAAGACTCAGGGGACCTTACTCTTCAAGTATTTGAAAAATAGCTCAACCCCAGTCTATGAGGCGACTCTGGAAATCCAGAAATACCTTTATCTTGGAACACTTTTCGCCATCTGCTGGAAATTTGTAGAAAAAGATGTCTTCAGCATCCTGGAATTTTGCAGTGAACAACTTGAACAACTGTAAGCAATGTGGCCCTATTGAACAGAAAACATGGAAAAAGGAGGTGATTCATTCTATCTGTCCACAATGTTTGTAGCTATAATTAAATAGACTTGGAAGCTATAGTGTCACTACTGATCTGCAAACAGGAAGAACTTCCTAGCTATGAGTTGTCCAAAAATCTGAAGGGCCTACTGGGCTCTTGGCAGGTCATGAGTTCCCTATCACTGGAGGTATTTAAGCATAGGCCGAAAACTACTCAGTGGGGCATGGAGAATGTTAGATTTAACACTCTGGGATTTGGGGCTCTATGGAACATTCTTCCAATAGCTTCATCTGTTAAGTAGATGAAGAGACCTTAAAGCAGGCAGCCCCTAGCCTCTAGAGTCTGTCTTGAGGTGTTCTGTCAGGCTCTGGCTGTGAAGCAGAGTGAGATGTAGTGGTTGGATCTTTCTGCAAAGAGTAGATTAGGTTTAAAGAACATCCCTGTTAGGTGTTTGATTTAATTTCACATGGGGGCTGTGCTTTGATGGAATTTGTCAGATCTCTGCTGGCCATAGACAACAGCATGGCAAAAGAAATGCCACACTCATGCCCACAGGCAAGCTGCTCCCTTGGTCAGAAACAGGGTATGGCAAGACCTTGCTGGGGGAAAAGGTGCCCAGTCCACAGTCCCCAGTGGGTAGTGGAGGAGGTGGCCATCAAACAGCACAGGCTCTGCCCATCTCCCCAAAGCAGGTGACATGACGACAGCCAGCAGGCCTGCAGAAATGCCTCTTCAAAGCTGGCTTGACTCTGCCCGGCAACACAGGCTGAGCCCATCCATCAGTTGTCCTGCTGCCTGCCAGCTGGGCTCTCTGCTGGGCTTGCCCCGCCAGCCAGATTGGAGGCGTCAAATGCAGGCCGACAGCACTGGGGTTTGGAAGAGGCTCTCGGAGGAGCCGTCCATGCCACGGTGATGGATGACGCCAACAGGGACGACATCCCGGGGATTTTTATTCCGTTCCACACATCTGGCAAGCTCTTTAACCAGAGCAGCTGCAAAGCCCTCATCTCAGGAATGCTGAGCTTTTTCTGAAAGACCCTGAACATGGGCCATGGTAATCCTGGTCAAGGGACCTGAAGCATGTGCCAATGAAGATTTCCCTATGCATGCTACTTCCTGAAAGCTAAAAACCACAGAGTTTCATGAAACACAAATCCACAAGGAGTTCCAGGCTAACAAAATAAAAACAAACAAGACTTGGAGTTGGGTAGCCTGGGTTAGGCCGCCCTCTTACCCTTTGGCCTTGGTTTTTCCTTACCTATAAAGCAGGAATAGTGCTCGTCATGCCATAGGGCTGTTTTAAGGGTAGACAAGATTGTGTGCAGCCACAATTACTTAGTACAGTGTCCGATTCATAGAGAATACTCAACACAAAATAACCAGTTATTACTTTTTATTTCGTTTTATTTTATTTTATTTTATTTATTTTGAGAGAGAGATTTTTGTACAGAGCATGTATGCTCACCAGAAAAATAGACAGAAAGAGAGCAAGAAATCACCCCCCATGGGAGATGGTCATGCTGCAGTCCTTTCTCCTCCACTCTCCTCTTAGGATTTTGGTCAAGCACACACACATGCCCAGCGTGATAGCTCAACCCCAGTCTATGAGGCGACTCTGGAAATCCAGAAATACCTTTATCTTGGAACACTTTTCGCCATCTGCTGGAAATTTGTAGAAAAAGATGTCTTCAGCATCCTGGAATTTTGCAGTGAACAACTTGAACAACTGTAAGCAATGTGGCCCTATTGAACAGAAAACATGGAAAAAGGAGGTGATTCATTCTATCTGTCCACAATGTTTGTAGCTATAATTAAATAGACTTGGAAGCTATAGTGTCACTACTGATCTGCAAACAGGAAGAACTTCCTAGCTATGAGTTGTCCAAAAATCTGAAGGGCCTACTGGGCTCTTGGCAGGTCATGAGTTCCCTATCACTGGAGGTATTTAAGCATAGGCCGAAAACTACTCAGTGGGGCATGGAGAATGTTAGATTTAACACTCTGGGATTTGGGGCTCTATGGAACATTCTTCCAATAGCTTCATCTGTTAAGTAGATGAAGAGACCTTAAAGCAGGCAGCCCCTAGCCTCTAGAGTCTGTCTTGAGGTGTTCTGTCAGGCTCTGGCTGTGAAGCAGAGTGAGATGTAGTGGTTGGATCTTTCTGCAAAGAGTAGATTAGGTTTAAAGAACATCCCTGTTAGGTGTTTGATTTAATTTCACATGGGGGCTGTGCTTTGATGGAATTTGTCAGATCTCTGCTGGCCATAGACAACAGCATGGCAAAAGAAATGCCACACTCATGCCCACAGGCAAGCTGCTCCCTTGGTCAGAAACAGGGTATGGCAAGACCTTGCTGGGGGAAAAGGTGCCCAGTCCACAGTCCCCAGTGGGTAGTGGAGGAGGTGGCCATCAAACAGCACAGGCTCTGCCCATCTCCCCAAAGCAGGTGACATGACGACAGCCAGCAGGCCTGCAGAAATGCCTCTTCAAAGCTGGCTTGACTCTGCCCGGCAACACAGGCTGAGCCCATCCATCAGTTGTCCTGCTGCCTGCCAGCTGGGCTCTCTGCTGGGCTTGCCCCGCCAGCCAGATTGGAGGCGTCAAATGCAGGCCGACAGCACTGGGGTTTGGAAGAGGCTCTCGGAGGAGCCGTCCATGCCACGGTGATGGATGACGCCAACAGGGACGACATCCCGGGGATTTTTATTCCGTTCCACACATCTGGCAAGCTCTTTAACCAGAGCAGCTGCAAAGCCCTCATCTCAGGAATGCTGAGCTTTTTCTGAAAGACCCTGAACATGGGCCATGGTAATCCTGGTCAAGGGACCTGAAGCATGTGCCAATGAAGATTTCCCTATGCATGCTACTTCCTGAAAGCTAAAAACCACAGAGTTTCATGAAACACAAATCCACAAGGAGTTCCAGGCTAACAAAATAAAAACAAACAAGACTTGGAGTTGGGTAGCCTGGGTTAGGCCGCCCTCTTACCCTTTGGCCTTGGTTTTTCCTTACCTATAAAGCAGGAATAGTGCTCGTCATGCCATAGGGCTGTTTTAAGGGTAGACAAGATTGTGTGCAGCCACAATTACTTAGTACAGTGTCCGATTCATAGAGAATACTCAACACAAAATAACCAGTTATTACTTTTTATTTCGTTTTATTTTATTTTATTTTATTTATTTTGAGAGAGAGATTTTTGTACAGAGCATGTATGCTCACCAGAAAAATAGACAGAAAGAGAGCAAGAAATCACCCCCCATGGGAGATGGTCATGCTGCAGTCCTTTCTCCTCCACTCTCCTCTTAGGATTTTGGTCAAGCACACACACATGCCCAGCATGAGTTTCAAGCCTCTAGATCTGAGACTTGAACCACAGTTTGCCATGTGGGAGTCCAGCAACATAACCATTAGGCCATCTGCTGGTCCCAATAACCAATTATTAATGTTATTTGGGTTAACTCAGGATATTCTTACTGTACTTCCTGCTCATTTCCTTTTTTAGAATAAAAAGAAAAGGTTGGAGATTTTTGCCATAGGGTGTGTGTGCTCACCAGACAGAGAGAGATAGAAACAGTGAGAGAGAAGATGGCCATGCCTCAATTCCTTTTCTTCCATTCTCCTCCTGGAATGTTGGGTATGCATGCACATGCCTGGAGTGATTTCGAAGCCACTGGGTCCAGGACTCGAACCATAGTCAGACGTGTGGGAGTCCAGCAACATAACCACTATTCCATCTGCTGGGCCACTTAATGATCATTTCTAAAACTAGACCTTGATAGACAAATACATAAGGATTTCTTTTTATACCTAATATATTGGGACTTTGGAAAAGTCGTGATATATTTTTACATAGCAAAACAGAAAAATACACCATTATTTTTTCAACGACCCAATAAAATTCTCCTGTCAGCTGCCCATTTCCCCACCAAAGTGCTTCCCTTTTCGAGGGCTGGGACAAAGTCTTGGGTAATCTGCATTAAATCCAGAGTGTTTGTCTACTATCTACCAGTGGAACCACATTTCATGACAGGCTGCAATCCCACTCTACCTGGAAAAGCACTTGGACACGTTTCTGCCTTCCTACAATTCATCAGGCATTTTCTCCACTAAAAGCTGTGACCCAAATCTCACTTAGTTTCTTTTCTCAATTTCCCATTTTCTCAGCTGCCAGCAGACACCATCTTTGCTGGCAAAGCTCTGCACTTGGCAGTGAGAAAGCAGGGAGACGTGGCCGCAGAGGGAAAAGTCAATCTGTCACACACATCCATTAAGTGTGTGAGGGCCCTGCACTGGGCACTGGGAAGTAGAAAGAGGAATAGAAATGACCCTTGCTCTTAAGAAATCAGCTCTCTAATTGGAGGAAACAAATAAGATGGGCTAAGTTAATAACTAACCCTGAGAGAGGGACCATCAGAGCCCAGTCATCACACCTAAATCTGTAGCTTAACTGAGATACTGAGGAATGCTTTTTGCTTCTGAAATTCCTGTTATACTGGTAACCCAATATCAACCAAGTCCTGTGTGTCTGTTTGTTATTATTGCAAAATCACAACCCCAAACTCAGTGGCTTAAACCATCAATCACGTATTTAGATACTAATTCTTTGGAGTCCAGAACTGGGCAGTTCTTCTGGTCTGGATTGGGCTCAGCTGATCTTGGGTGGGCCTCATAAGTGTCTGCAGTCAACTGGTGGTTTGACTGAGGTCTCATTTTGCTGACCTTGGCGAGACTTTTTCATATGTCTGAGGCCTTCGCTGGGACCGCAGCTGCTCACACATCCTCTAATGTTCTTGCAGGCTGTTCACATGGGAGTCACAGAGATCCAGGAGAAATGTGGGGAGTGAGAAAGCATACCAGACTTCTTGAGGCTCAGGATTTGCACTGGCCCATTGTCCTTCTACCATATGCTATTGACCAAAGAAAGTCCCAAGGCCAGCCAAAACTCCAAAGGTGGGGAGATTGACTCCATCTCTTGGTCAAAGTACTACAAAGTCACATTGTGACTGTGGGTATATAGAGGGGAAGAGAATCAAGAGTTAGTTGTATACTTATATCAAACCAGAATTCCACAGTGGAATTTGAGGCAACAGGACCTAGACTTGGCCACTTCTTGTTCTCTAGTTCTTTACCACCCTATCATCTCCTTCCTTGACTGGTTTTCTTCCCCTATTCAAAGGCTGGAGGCTCCTTTAAGGATAAGGCCACATATTGCTCTTATTTGTCTCTCTCTACTGTCTCCAATGCCATTCTATATCTGCTGTCCTTCATGGCCCATTGCAGGGGCACGATACAAGTTTCTTACATAGGCAATAGGATTAAGAGCCAACAACATAATGGAAAACACAGAATAAGCTTTAAGTTTGGAGGAGGAGAAACTCTTCTAAGGGATGCTTTCAAAATATGTTGCAGCCCACCCCAAACGTAAAGGATTTGGATGCCCTGCCTTGCACGGCCCTCTGTGAGAGCTTCTGCACTGATGGTCTGAGGAGGCTGAGTCCCTGCTGGTTCTACCCACCTCAGCCAAGGACTCTGGATTGTAGAGAATGGTGGCAACTCACTGCCTGTTTAGCAGGAATATGATTCAATTCCTTCCTTAGCTTCTCTGGGAGATGAACGGATCTTGTTAATGGGACTGAATTCAAGTCAAAATCCACCAACGGACGCCCCTCATCCCCTATCCATCTCCCATCACTTGGAAAAGTTACACATCTTATCCACATTCACATCTTTCCCATTTACCAGCATCTGCAAAGGAGGTAATTCTTAACAGCCTAGCCAAGATTAGCTAGCTAGTCTGACCTCCAACCTGGGGAAGCGATGGGAGAAATTATAGGAGCAACTTGTCTATAGGGCACTTATCTCTAAACATTTGTTGGAAAGCAAAAATAAATTCTCCAAAGAAAGAAAAGAAATAAACGATGAGATCTTCTCATTACCAAATCCCATTGTCTCTCTCAAATGTCAGTTTGAAATCTTTCATGTCAAACTCAGAAAAACATTTTTTCCCCTCATTCTCTTTCTCTGCGTTATCGTGCTAGATGGAAGGAAACTTTATTTGCTCCAGGAAGACAATGGCCTTATCTTCAGCCTAGATCCTCATCCCTAGAAAGGTGGCCTCCTCTGGGAGCATTCTCATAGTGGGGAAAAGCAGCTCACGAGAAATAATGAGCAAGCAAAGGGAGTCTTGACTTGACACTGTGATAAATGAGGTGAAACTTTGGCAAGGAACCAGAGTTGGTGTATTCAAAAAAGAAATAAAAAGATAGTTCCATTTTAATGGGAAATATGAAACAGCCATTGTGCAAAAGTCGATTTTTCAAAAGCCAAGTAGATAAAGACTATAATGGAATGACTGAGAGACGAGTAAGATAATGTGCTTGATAACCGGGCTTAGGTAAAGTGCCATCCTCCAAGCCATCAGCTGGCTCTGTCGGAGTGCCTTTTCAAGTCAGCTATCTGCATTTGCTCCTGCCTCATTATCATATGCATCTTTGGACAGCTTCTTTACAGCTTCATCTTGCAGACTTGCCATGTTCCCACCTGCTGGAGAGAGCAAAGTCAACTCAACTTTCTTCAAATCCAAAACTTTTCTCCATGAGCCACAGAGCTACCAGCATCTCCTCAGACCCCAGAAGCAAAGAGCTGGAGTCAGCCTTCTACACACCTGCTTTTCCCAGTGACTGGCCTACTGCAATTTTCCATCTGTGGGCAACTCCACACACTGCCTTGTCTTTCAGTGGATGAGATCCATGAACTTTCTCAAGGTTGTCTTTGGGTGATTTCTAATCCTAGCAGAATGGATATTCAATGGGGATGATTGGACACATTTTTTTTTTTGAGAGGTTTTCGCTATAGGGTGTGTGAGCTCTCCAGAAAGACAGAGAGACAGAGAGACAGAAAGCGAGAAATCATCTCCCAGGGGGGCATGGTCATGCTGCAATCCTTTTCATCCATTCTCCTCTCAGGATCTTGGGCACACATGCACATGCGCCTGGCGTGATTTTAAGCCACCAGGTCTGGGACTCCAACCACAGATGATCACAACCAGCGACATAGCCATTACGCTAACTGCTGGTCCCAGGACTGGATACATTTTTGTAAGGGTGAGTGTGGATGATGATGTAAAACACCAGTTGAAGCAGTAGAGAATCATGGTTGAGCTGGTGATTTTTAGTGGTTATATGGAGCTTAGTTCATACCCTGACATCTTTAGCTATGTGACCTTGGGTTGCTCTACCTAAAACGGAGCAAATGATATACCTCTTAGATTTTTATGAGCACAAAATGAGATGGTTCATGTAAAGTGCTTAGCACAGAGTCTGGTACGTAATAGAGGCTTGATAAATATTAGCTGTTATGATGACTCCGTAGGTACACCTTGGCAGTCATTTGATGCCATGACCAAGTAGAAAGTAATGAGTTTCTTTGACTTCATTAAGCTAAGGTGGCTAATAAAGTCCCATTAAAAAATATTACTCACAGCACTACACAGCAGGGCACTCTGCTATCTGATCTGACCCTGGACAGGCACCACATAGGCCCTGGGAACCTGCTAGACCAGTCCTCTTCCTGCTGCTTGAAGATGAGAAAACCAAAGCACCGAGAATTCAATTTGCTTTTCCAAGATCACAGTTTATGAAAAGCCAGGCTTCACTTCTCCCCATTTTTTTGTTTGTTTTTTGTTTGTTTGTTTGTTTGTTTACCATTGGTCACATGCGGTCACCAAAGAGAGAAAGAGAGGGAGAGAGAAAAAATAAGAAAGCTTCCCTAGGGGGATGACCACACCACAATCCCTTTTCTTCCACTCTCCTCTTGGGATTTTGGGTACAAGCACCAAGCATGTTGTGCAAGCTTCAGTGTCCAGGACTTGAATTACATAGTCAGTCATGTGGGATTGGCCACCTTAACCACCATGTCACCTGGCTGGCCCAACTTCTCTCCATTTCGAATCAGGATCTCTTGATCCTTCCTAATGCCAACAAAAAGCCTCACCCTTATACCAACTCCTATCCAGGTGAGAAGCTGGAAAGACATGATTCCTTTTTCAGGAGTTTGAATACTGTAGTGGAAAGGTGTTCAGCTAAATAAAATATTGATTTATTAATGATTAAGGATTCTTCTGTTCTGTCCCTACCTCTGCAGATTGGACACCTGACAACTATGAATACAGCTATGAATATTACAACCAGGAGGAGAATGACAGCAGTACAGCTGCCCACCCCGAGAATCCTGATTGGTATTACACAGAGGAAGGTCAGCACAAAATCTTTGTTCAGGGCCCTTCTGGGAGGAGGTCAACATTCCTGGAGGAGAGCTGATATGTGACCATATGCAAGGGCCTCTTTCTCCCCTTCTCCCCGACCAACATAGTAACATAGGTATCAAATAAATTACTTTAAATTTATATATACTTTTTTTTCCATTAGAATCACATACTATGAGGACTAGGGAGGTTCTTAGAGAACTTCTTCCCTACCGTCAGATGACAGATGACTTCATGAGTGAGGCCAAGAGAGAAGCTGACTTGGTCAAGGTCATACAGAAAGTTAGGGCATCATCATTCAGGCCTCTTGACATTGTCAATAGGCGTCATGTGCAAAATCACTCCCCAGTTAGATCACACCCCAATTTCTAATTATTTAGAAGAGTTGGGATTTGCATGGAGCATTGGATTGTGGCTTTCTCGGTGCTTTAATACTTTCCTTTTCTTCTGCTTTTGCTGTGTTTTGCTTTTGCTTTTCACTATTCAGAAATTTGCATAGTTGTCAGGTTTGTGTGTGTGTGTCTGTAAGTATACACACATGCAGGTGTGTTTCTACCATACTTGTTTTTGTTTGGGGGGGCATCTTAACCCAATAAATAGGACAGAAAGAAAAAATAAGTCGCCTGGTCCAAGCAAGCCATGTGACTAAACCAGAAGAAGGAATGGAAAGCACTTAGCAGCTGGAATAAAAGCTGTGTAACTGTGCGAAGTGGCCTGGAAGGCAGGGCCAAGATACAGGGCATCAGGGGAACATCAGAAGGGACCATCAAAACAAGAGCTGGGCCCAGGGATCCTAGTTCCTGAACCAAAGAACAATGTGTGTGAACAGAAGGATAAAGAATTCCCCAAGGGAAGATCCATTCAGACAACCATGAAAAGCCAAAGGCACAGATGAAATATGACAAAACCTAACTGAACAAGTAGTTGAAGAAAGATGAAGGCCACTGGGTCATTTCCTCCTCGCCGTCAATTCTTCTGTCACCCTCTTGCCTTTGGTCTTCTCTCCTGATGTTCAGAAAGCTCGTGTTTCATTAGGGGTGGGTTTTCTTTCCCCACTCCTGACCTCCACCCCTGGGCACTGGAAGTAGGGGAGGTCTTCATGCCTGTGAAATGCCTTCAGCATCAGAGACAGACCCCAGGGCACTCCCGGCGAGACTGGGAGGAGGAAAACACTGATGAGGGAAAAGGGGAGTTTCTCAATGAGAAAGGCCCCTTCTAAAGCCAGGCTGAGGGGAGACAGACTTGATTCCTTCTCGCTTCTCCTCTTACTAACCTGAAACCTCTCTGGTTGTGTGATTGCAATTTTCCTTGCTCTTTAAGAACAGTATATGTTTTTCCCCCTCTCCCAATCATGGGTTATATAGTGACTTATTTGGGGTTGAGACTGAAATCAGGTGATCAAGTGGAGGCTTCTTACCTGCTGTTCCTTCCCAACACTGACTTCTGTCCAGATGTCTTGGACCCATGCCAGTCAAACCCGTGTGAACATGGTGGGGACTGCCTCGTCAGTGGGAACAACTTCACATGCAGCTGTCCTGCCCCTTTCTCTGGGAGCAGGTGTCAGAAAGGTCAGTGCACCATCACCTAACTCACTCTTCCCTCTGAGTTAAACAAGAGGGGTGGGGAAGGACTGTGTGATTCCCTTGAAAGGATTACAACTGCAGATATTATATTGTACATAATGGATTCCTCTGTGAGGTCACAGGTAGCATCTCATGAAGTCTCCACCCCAACACCGTAAGATGGGAATAGTATATCCACTCTACAGATGAGAAGATTGAGACCAAGAGGGAATTGGAACTGGACTCTAACCAAGACATAATCTAGACGCAGGACTTTGTTTTTACAGCATTTAAATTAACTAAAGAAGAGAAATATTGTCCTTGAATGGGAGAACAGAAAGGATCTCAGGGTTCACAAAGATCTCAGGGTTCACAAAGCCCAATGCTGTCAGAAGAAGGGGCATGCAGAGAGTGAAGGGGACTTGCTCTTGGTCACCCAGCTAATTAGAAGTAGAGCAAAGATTGGAGCCCAGGAGTCTGACAATCCTGCCTGTGCTCTTTGGTCTTGCCATCCTCACTGTGTCTGCCTTTAATGAGCTCTCTAGGCATAATATAAGGCCATGGGATAAAGCATCAGGAATTGAACTCCTGTGGGTAATTGTACCCCTAGGGAGAACCTGGATTCTGCCCAGTCTAGCAACTATTTAACTGAAGTGAGAGAGAACCTGGATTCTGCCCAGTCTAGCAACCATCAAACTGGAGTGAGGGAAGTCAGTGAAGGTCTTATGGATATTTAAGGCTTTGTGGTTGACTTCTTTACTCTGTGCTCTCTTCATTTATTCCTTCAATTCTTGTTATATATGTTTCAGAATTGTCAGGGGTACTGGGTACAAACTTAATATCTGGGTTAATCTCTCAACTCCTCAGAAGAATAACAAAATTGTAAATGGAATATGAAATCAGCAATAAAATGGAGGGACTAAAAAGGCAGCTCTGTTTGTCTTTTTTGTTCTATTGCCAGAGAGCACATATGCTTGCCAGAGAGAGACAGACAGATAGACAAAGAGGGAGAAGAAGAAAGCACCTCTTAAGTGGGGAGTTGTCATGCCATAGTCCCTTCTCCATTTCTCATCCTGTTGGGAATTTAAGCAGCATGCATGTACATGTACCCAGTGTGTTTCTTAAGTCTGGGTCCAGAATTTGAACTGCAGTTGGCCATATGGAATCCACCTCCCTTAATGAGTAGGCCACAGGGCCATTCCCTGGACCCATTTGTTGAAGGAATAAAAATTATCAAAGATTTTTATTAAGTCAGAAAAATGCCTATGAGCACTGACAGGGATGTGAGAAGCAGTCATCTATGACATGGCCCAAGGCTACCTTGGTGTAGATAGTGTTTCAGGACCATGGACAAAGGCATGAGCATTCTATCAGCCACCTCGCCCAAACACTGTGATGTAGGCAGTTGCCTAAATGAAAATTGCCCTGGGTCTTAGAGGATGGTGCAATGGTAAAATGTGGCACTGCAAGGCAGTACCACATGGGAAGGTTCCCAGTTCAAGTCCAGTGACCTCCCTGAGTACACTGGGCACATACATGATCCAGGGCTGACAAAAAAGCCAGGAGTGGATTGCAGCACCAAACTCTGTAAGGGGAGGGGCGGTTCTCTCTCAATAAATAAATAACATTTTTTTTTTGGTGTGTGTGTGTGTGTGTAAAAATTCCCCAAATAATGTTCTATATTTTGTCCCTACTCTATGGATCTCCGATAGTGCGAAACATGTGCAAGAGCAACCCATGTGGCCGGGGTGAATGTCTCATTATCCGGACTCCTCCCTACTACCGATGTGCCTGTAAACACCCTTACAAGGGTCCAGACTGTTCCAAAGGTAAGTGTCAGAGGCCTCTCCTATGTTGACTTCCTTCACCCTAGCATGTGTCTAGAGTCTCTGCATCTTACTGTGTAGAAATCCAGATGCATCTGATGTTTTCATGATGTGAATGATGCCCCTTTTAATGATGATTTTAAAAGATTCATCATCCATGGACTACTCAGTGGGATCTGTACCCCTTCCCATCCCAAACCAAAATCATCTTGAAACTCACTCCCTCCAGGAAGTAGGCCCTAATTTATCCCTGATGTGGGCCACATAGAAGAATGATTATGTATTGAGTCACTGCTATGAGTCAGGTACTGTGCCAGGAAATTTACATTCTCTCTCAAATTCTCCCAGGAATACTGCATGGAAGAGTTTTACAGATGAAGAAACTGAGCAAGAGGTCAACTAATTTGCTCATGGCTACACACCTTTCAAAGGACAGAGTCAAGTTTTAGCTTAGCCCAGACTAGCCACAAAATGCCTGCTCAGTCCAAGCCTCCTGTTCTTTCCTACTGAGTAATCCATCGACTTATGTACTATTCTGTGCATGACTTCCATCCACATTGTTCATCTACATTTGCTTATGTTCTTAAGGTTTATGTGTACCTTCACTAGAGTGTCAGTGGGTATGTCCTTCCCTTGGGTGACCCATCTTCTGTGAAAGGATGGACACCACAAGAGTACCACCCCTCATTATCGCAATATAAAGTCTCCTTGTCATCTCAATATAGGCTACCATTCCTTCTGAAGAGCTTTCTTGGCCCCACTTCCTGTGTTCACAGTGGTCCCTGTGTGCAGGCCAAACCCCTGCCAGAATGGCGGCACCTGCTCCAGGCATAGGCGGAGATCCAAGTTTACCTGTACCTGCCATGGCCAGTTCAAGGGGAAAGTCTGTGAAATAGGTAAGGGTCTCTGCCACCACTTCATTCGAAACTAGGGTCATAAGTGAGGCCTCAGGAATTCTTTTCTGCTTGGATTTTGTTGCCAGAATGTCCCCCAAACTAGATTGCCTCAGTCTTCCAACTTAAAGGCTTAGGGTACAACTGGTTCCAAGTGAAAAATTTTAAAAAGTTATAAAGTGGCATGTAGTGCAGGAATTTCAAACATACTGGGCCATTCTTGGGCCTCAACCAAGTTCCTAACCCCCAAAACCACTGTACTTCATGTTTTTGAATTGGGATGACTGTGGGACATTCAGGCCACTTTCTTTCTGGAACTTTGTAGTACTCGGGCCCGATCCTATCACTGTCTGTGCACCACCAAGACCTTCTGGGAGGCAGTATGCCTGTTGCTATCAGTTCTCACATCCCTCCCCACTCTCTTTCCAAGATGCTGATGACTGCTACATTGGTGATGGCTACTCTTACCGAGGGAGTGTGAGTAAGACAGTCAACCAGCATTCTTTTTTTCTCCCACCTCCTTTTAAATGAGAATTACAATATGTTTATGGAAGATGCTGAGGCCCATGGGGTTGGGGATCACAACTTCTGCAGGTAAAAACTCCCCCCTCCCTTCTTTTTTTTGGAGAGGTTTTTGCTATAGGGAGCATGCGCTCACTAGAAAGAGAGAGACAGAGAGACAGAAAGCAAGAAATCACTCCCAGGGGGGATGGCCATACCACAATCCCTTCTCCTCCATTCTTCTCTCAGGATCTTGGGCACACATGCACATGCACCCAGCATGAGTTTAAACCACCGGGTCTGGGATTCGAATCATGGTCGACTACATGGGAGTCCAGTGACATAGCCATTATGCCAACTGCTGGTCCCCAGATTCCCTTTTTTGGGGCCATTACGGTTCTGGACTCCCACATGGTTGACCAAGGTTCAAGTCCTGGATCCAGTGGCTTAAAACATGCCAAGGACTTGCATACACAAAATCCCAAGAGAAAAATGAATTATGGCATGGCCATCACCCCTGGGGGGGGTGATTTCTGTCTCTCTGGCAAATACATGTGTCTTATAGCTAAAATCTCTCTCTGAAAAAATTAATTCCTTTTTTTCTTTGCTGCCTTGGTTCTTTGAAATGAAACAGATCATTGAAACTCATACACCTTCTTCTAGGAGACTTTACTACTTAGAGTAGGTGAAGTTATGATACTGTAACGAACAATACCCAAACCTCAGTGGCTCAAATACATCGTAGAGGTTTCTTACTAATGTTACCTATGTTATGTGGATTGGTGGTGGTGATGGTGGAAATTTGGCGCCACACAGTTCTTATCCTCAGGAAGGATGAGAAGAGAGTAGGAAGGATCAGAAGAGCATGTTTGTTTGTTTGTTTGTTTGTTTGTTTTTTAACCAACTCAATGTAGAAGTGACACATCATCTCCCAACACATATTTCATTGTCAGAAATAATCAAATGGTCCCATATAACTTCAAGGGAGAAATGTGTAGGAGCAGACGGAATGTCTCATAAGCATTATGGTCTCTCCCATAGGATGCTCAGTTTTTTTCATGTAAGGATAATGCAATCACCATCCCTGGTGATGACCTAGTCAGCTTCTTCCTCCTCTGCTGCCTCTGTATCACTCTGTTGGTTCCTTTCCCACCGGTCTTCTAATCTAGGCCAATGATTTGCATCTAAGGGGCAGGGATCCTTAGCATGGCTTTAAACTGGCTGCATAAACAAGAGTACTTTCTTTGCACAGAATACTAGTTATCTTCCACTTTCACTCCTTGAGCTATTTCCTTGGTGGAGCTGTCTACAGGGTGGCCCCCTTGCCAGCCTTTCTCAGAGAATTCTCATGCATGGACTTTGGCTATGTGGGCAGAGGAACCCTATCCTCATCATGTCCTGTGGGTATTTTACCTTCCTGACAAAGAAGGATCTTCAGCAGGGATTTTCTGTCTTTTCCTACAAACAATTTAACGTGTCCCATAGGTCTTGCACAAGACTTGTAACCCTCTGGGTGGTTATGTTTAATTTCAGCAGTAGCCAGAAGCCCATCATTTGCCTTGAAATGCTTATCAGCAGCTAAGGGACATTTATAGGAAAGGAGAAAAGCTCTAAGTTTGATAGCAGTAATTGTATTTAACTTGCAAGATATAAGACTATTTATCTTGTGACTGAGAATTCACAGAGAACAAAAGAGGTTTGCCTGATAAAACAAAAATAAAGAAAATAATATATACTAAGCACTCTCCCTTCAGATTCCCATTTTCCAACCAAGACCATTAAGCAGTGAAAAAGACTTTCATCTTATGAAGCGTTTCCTGTGTGCTTAGTTTGGTGCTGGAAGGTAAAGTGGGATCATGGAAAGTAGAGTCTGCCAAAGCCCTTGAGGACTCCTAGATGACAAGGACAAAGGCAAATGTCAATAGGTGCCCTGGAAAAGGCTGACTTCTGGACTTAGCAGAAACTGGAGATGTAACTTGAGATGAAAACTCTAGCACTTAACTTGAAGCAAAAATTATTTTTTAAAAGAATTATTTAACAGTATTTCTGTCTGTCTTTCTTCCTTTCTTTTAATTTGACAAGAGAGGGACAGAGCAAGAGAAGAGAGAGAGAGAGAGAGAGAGCGAGCAAGCAAGCCACCAGCTCCGGAACTCAAACCATGTTTGGCCATGTGGAAGTCCAGTGCCCCCAAATACCTCATCACCTACCGGTCCTAAGGCAAAAATTCTAAATTGTCAAGACTTGAGGTAAGGCCAGAATTTCTGGGATGTATAAATGTTTCAGGATATGAAAGAGAATCTAAGGAAGGCTCCAAGTGTGATTAAAAAACAAAGGCTCCCAAGTCAGGTGGGATCCTGGGTTAGATATTAGTAGTTCTCAAACTAATCTAAACCTAAACTCTCTTGAACTGTTCCTAATCTATAGAGTGGGCATAAGACTAACACTGACCATATTGGTAGTTTCTAGGCTGAGTAGAATGTGGCCCATGGAGGTAGGGGGTGGAGTATGTACCTGCCTTCACTGGAACTCCCACCTCCTTTTAAAAGAGAATTACAATATGTTTATGGAAGATGCTGAGGCCCATGGGGTTGGGGATCACAACTTCTGCAGGTAAAAACTCCCCCCTCCCTTCTTTTTTTTGGAGAGGTTTTTGCTATAGGGAGCATGCGCTCACTAGAAAGAGAGAGACAGAGAGACAGAAAGCAAGAAATCACTCCCAGGGGGGATGGCCATGCCACAATCCCTTCTCCTCCATTCTTCTCTCAGGATCTTGGGCACACATGCACATGCACCCAGCATGAGTTTAAACCACCGGGTCTGGGATTCGAATCATGGTCGACTACATGGGAGTCCAGTGACATAGCCATTATGCCAACTGCTGGTCCCCAGATTCCCTTTTTTGGGGCCATTACGGTTCTGGACTCCCACATGGTTGACCAAGGTTCAAGTCCTGGATCCAGTGGCTTAAAACATGCCAGGCACTTGTGTGTGCATGCACAAAATCCCAAGAGAAAAATGAATTATGGCATGGCCATCACCCCTGGGGGGGGTGATTTCTGTCTCTCTGGCAAATACATGTGTCTTATAGCTAAAATCTCTCTCTGAAAAAATTAATTCCTTTTTTTCTTTGCTGCCTTGGTTCTTTGAAATGAAACAGATCATTGAAACTCATACACCTTCTTCTAGGAGACTTTACTACTTAGAGTAGGTGAAGTTATGATACTGTAACGAACAATACCCAAACCTCAGTGGCTCAAATACATCGTAGAGGTTTCTTACTAATGTTACCTATGTTATGTGGATTGGTGGTGGTGATGGTGGAAATTTGGCGCCACACAGTTCTTATCCTCAGGAAGGATGAGAAGAGAGTAGGAAGGATCAGAAGAGCATGTTTGTTTGTTTGTTTGTTTGTTTGTTTTTTAACCAACTCAATGTAGAAGTGACACATCATCTCCCAACACATATTTCATTGTCAGAAATAATCAAATGGTCCCATATAACTTCAAGGGAGAAATGTGTAGGAGCAGACGGAATGTCTCATAAGCATTATGGTCTCTCCCATAGGATGCTCAGTTTTTTTCATGTAAGGATAATGCAATCACCATCCCTGGTGATGACCTAGTCAGCTTCTTCCTCCTCTGCTGCCTCTGTATCACTCTGTTGGTTCCTTTCCCACCGGTCTTCTAATCTAGGCCAATGATTTGCATCTAAGGGGCAGGGATCCTTAGCATGGCTTTAAACTGGCTGCATAAACAAGAGTACTTTCTTTGCACAGAATACTAGTTATCTTCCACTTTCACTCCTTGAGCTATTTCCTTGGTGGAGCTGTCTACAGGGTGGCCCCCTTGGCAGCCTTTCTCAGAGAATTCTCATGCATGGACTTTGGCTATGTGGGCAGAGGAACCCTATTCTCATCATGTCCTGTGGGTATTTTACCTTCCTGACAAAGAAGGATCTTCAGCAGGGATTTTCTGTCTTTTCCTACAAACAATTTAACGTGTCCCATAGGTCTTGCACAAGACTTGTAACCCATTTTCTAGGCCTTAGAATCTCCTCAGAAAGTTTAGATTTTGCCAAAATCTAAGACTACCCCTTTAGGACATGGTTTTCTTTCTTTCTTTCTTTCTTTCTTTCTTTCTTTCTTTCTTTCTTTCTTTCTTTCTTTCTTTCTTTTTTTATTTTTTAGAGGTTTTTGCTATAGGGCACGTGCGCTCACCAGACAGACGGAGAGGCAGAGAGATAGAAAGCGAGAAATCACCCCCCGGGGGGATGACCACGCTGCAATCCCTTCTCCTCCATTCTCCTCTCGGGATCTTGGGCACGCACGCACACGCACCCGGCGTGAGTTTAAGCCACCAGGTCGGGGACGCAAACCATGGTCGACTACGTGGGAGTCCAGCGACATAGCCATTATGTTAACTGCTGGTCCCCAGGCCATGGTCTTCTAACCTGTTGGAGGATTTGAATGAAATGTAGTCTCAGCAAGAGCTTTGCACTCTCTTGTCCAAAGGTCTTTGTAATGAAGTGCAATGGGCTCAGCAAACCTCAACTCAAAATTATTATTATTATTATTATTTTATTTTAGAAACCCAGATGGAGACAAAAGGCCCTGGTGCTTCATTAAAGTGAACAACGAAAAGGTGAAATGGGAGTACTGTGATGTCTCAGCCTGCTCAGCCCTAGGTAAGGCCGTGGCTGTGCAGAGGCCCTTGGGGTGGGGAGGTTGAAGAGTTGAAGGCCCACAGAGAAATGTTCTTGCCCCACTGTCCTTCCTCACCTGTGTTACCAGTTCCTACCCGAGTGCCGCCCTACATGCCTGACCTCAGGATGCAGAGCAGACCAGACCTAGGCACCTTTGTGAGCTCAGGCCATGTGGTTTAACTGTAAACTCGCGTTTCCTGACTCTAAGGCAGTGCACTCAGCAGATATTTACCATTTTCTTCTTTGGTCCCAGGCACTATGTCCGGCCTGGCTGTGTGATGGTGATCAAACATTGATCCATTGCTTCTCAAATGCAATTGGGTCTGAATTTTCCTCACAGGTTTCCTGCCAGTCTTCCCTGGCTCACCTCTGGGCCTACCTCTGGCTAATGAGATTCCCTCCCTGAACAATTTCACGTCTGTGCCTTTGCTCTCATGGTCACTTCTGTCAATAGTGTTCCTTCTCATAGCTCCTCTCATCCACATCCATCTTGGAAAAACAATTCAGTTATTCTTTCCTCCAGAAGTTTTCCTTGATCTCCCAAATGAAATGTTGTCTCTTCCTCTCTATATACCTCAAAGAACGGAGCAAGGTCCCGCAACACTTCTGTCTCTCTCCTTTGTATCCCAGGGATCTGTGCAAATGTTTCAACTACCTACTCCACTTCATATTGATACCCTCTCCTCTGCACTGAAAAAGCATCCAAAATGTATGTGCCCATTAATGAGTAGCTAAGTATTCATATATTTCCTCATGCATGTATATATAAACATATTGATCCTAACAACACATTTTGAAATAAGGAAAAAGCAATATCATCTTTGTTAATTTTATGTACTTGCTTTATATTAATCAATGTATTCAACAAATATCAGCTGTGCACCTACTGCATGCCCACCATGTGTGCACCAGTGCTTCTTTTAGCTCTCAACACCTCCTCAGCTGCTCGACTCAGAGTCCCATCTCTGAGGTACCAGAAGTAGGTTGAGTACCATGACTTGTCCTTCTTGTGTCTCACAGACATTGCCGACGTAGAGGGAAGCTCTACAGAACACCTGACCAAGATTCCAGGGTTTGATTCCTGTGGGAGGACTGAGATAGCAGAGAGGAAGGTCAAGAGGATCTATGGAGGCTTTAAAAGCACGGCGGGCAAGCACCCGTGGCAGGTGTCCCTGCAGACCTCGCTGCCATTGTCCATCTCCATGCCCCAGGGCCACTTCTGTGGGGGTGCGCTGATCCACCCCTGCTGGGTGCTCACTGCTGCCCACTGCACTGAGTAGGTGTCCACTGGGAGCAAGGGCCAGGGTGACTCAAGCGTATAGAGATGTTCTCCCTTCCCCACCTGGGTAGCATCTTGGAAGCTCTAGCAGGATTAGGGGGTCAATCTAGCTCCAAGGACAAAGAAATGGCTGCTTACAACCAGCAGGAAAAGGAATTTTTGAGTCTAGAGTGTTTACCATGGGCATTGCATGTGCTATGCTACATCTAATCCTCCAGGCTGTTTATAGGAAGACAAAATTGTGGTGTTCCCAATTCCTAGAGCAGATCTGAGTACATAGCTAATGTTCAGTAAATATTTGTGGAGGGAAGAAATGTATTGTTATTCCAAACCTTAGGATGGGCTAGCATCTTACCTAAAGTTACATGGAAAGTACACGGGCAAATAGGATGTGAACCTAGGTCTATCCACTTCCCTAACCTCTTCAGTTCTGCTCCATTGATGCCATCCTCTTGAACCTCTGGGTCAAGTGTCTTCAGCCAAGCCTCATGTGTCTTAGAGAAGCAAGTCCCTAACGGGGAACTGAAGAATCACTACCTCAAATTACCTTAAGTTTGTGTTCAAGGCTGGTCCCATCAACCCCAGGCTTGGAAGATGGCTTTGAAGGTCTTCTGGACCACCCAGTTATTTTTATTGTTTTTAAGTTTTTGCCATAAGGCACATGCATTCACCAGAGAGAGATAAACAGAGACACAGAGAGGGAAAGTGAGAAATCAACCCCCCAGTGGGGATAGCCACACTGCAATTCCTTCTCCTCCTGAGATTTTGGACACACACACACACACAGGTACTTGGCATGATTTTCAGGCTGCTGGGTCTGGGACTTGAACTATAGTTGGCCATGTGAAAATTCAGTTCCTTAATCATCACACCACCTGCTGATCCCCCACTCAGTTATTAAATGATTTGTTCTGGGATTCTAGGAGATGTTCCTCAAGAGAGGTCGGGCGAACAAATGTTAGTACCTACTTTAGATTTGTTCAAGACCTCAATGACTGATCTTTATCAGGGCCCTGGGAGAATGGGGCTTTTCCCAGGAAAATGGGATAAAAATTACAGCTGACATTTGGAGTCTGCTTCTGTTCATGAAGCAGTTCCCTGACAGTATCTTACTTGAAGCACAGAGCAGAGTTATGAGAGTTAGATGAGGATTAGTGATAAGGATGCTAAGGCTGCAAAAGATCAGGGATTTATCCAAGGTCACACAGCTCCCTAGGAACAGAGCTGGGGCCTGGATCCAGCCTCTCATGCCCCAGGGCTATTTTCTGACCATTTTGTTTTTCCTTGCAGCATAAAAGCCAAACATCTAAAAGTGGTGCTAGGGGACCAGGACCTGAAGAAGACAGAATTCCATGAGCAGATCTTCGGGGTGGAGAAGATATTCAAGTACAGCCACTACAATGAGAGGGATGAGATTCCCCACAATGATATTGGCAAGTCTCTTCTCTCATGGATCTCCTGTGGGTCTCTTCCTGAGTGGATTTCTTCTTTCTCTGATGGAAGCAGAGCTTTGGTTCTAGAAGTTGCTCTTTTTTCTTTTTTTTTTTTTTCAGAGGTTTTGCTATAGGGTGTGTGCACTCACCAGACAGACAGAGACAGAGAGACAGAAAGCGAGAAATCAACCCCCAGGCAGGATGGCTACGCCACAATCCCTTCTCCTCCATTCTCTTCTCGGGATCTTGGGCACACATGCACACGTGCCCGGCGTGAGTTTTAAGCCACCGAGTCCGGGACACGAACCACTGTCGACTATGTGGGAGTCCAGCAACATAGCCATTACGCTAACTGCTAGTCCCTAGAAGTTGCTCTTGATGGCTCTGGTTCCCTGTAGGCCCCCTATAGTAGAGAATTTATTCCAGAGTTTTAAGTTCATAAGTGTTAGTGTTGTGAATAAGTGGCACAAGCTCTTAAATTGAGGGAAGAGATATAGGAACTTTGTGTTATGGAAAGAGCTTAAATACACTTTCTAGCCAGGAACCAGACCACCTCTAAGCATCAGTTTTCTCTTCTCTAAAATGGGAACACTGAGACACAGTTCTCAGCTTTCTGTGTGTTGAGTGACATCATGTGCATGAGGACATACCCAACACTTCGGGGCAGAGACAATAGAGACAATGATATTCTTAGGCTACTGGCGGCTCTGCTCCATACATGATTCCTCCTTTCGTGGAGTCTCTCTCTCTCTCTCTCCTTCTTCAACAGCTTCTGCCCCCCTTATAGTTTTTTTTTTAGTGGATTAGGAATTATTTCAAACTCAGTTATTATTTCTTGCTATTACTCTTAGCTTGAAGTGTTCCTCTTCCCAGGTGGAAGTTAAAAAAATGATATGACAAGGACCAGCAGATGACATAATGCTCATGTTGCTGGACTCCCACATAGTTGGCCATGGGTTGAGTCCTGGAACTGGCGGGTTAAAACTTACATCAGGGGCGTGTGTGTGTGCACCCAAAATCCCGAGAGGAGAGTGGAAGAGAAGTGATTGCAGTGTGACCACCCCCTTGGGGTGGCTTTCTGTCTCTCTCTATCTCTCTGCTGAGCACCCATGCCCTAAGGCAAAAATCTCTCTAAAACAAAAACAAAATGAAATGACCAAGGAAGAAGTTATTTGGGCTTGGAGTGCGGGCCTTGGTTATAACCACCTTCTGAAGCAAGTTGAAGCTGATGCTTCTCTGACAAAGAGGAGATTTCACATGTATTTCCTGTCTCTCTCCCCACCTAGCTTTGCTCAAGTTAAAACCAGTGGATGGTCACTGTGCTGTGGAATCCAAATATGTGAAGACTATATGTTTGCCAAGTGATCCCTTTCCCTCTGGGACTGAGTGCCACATCTCTGGCTGGGGTGTCACAGAGACAGGTGAGTATGGCCAGACATTCTCCTGAGACACAGGTGAGCGACATCAACCAGAGGTAGAAGCGCCAAACTCACTTGGCCTTCTGAACTTGAAATATGAGTGTATTCTATTCAAAATGCATTATCAAGAGAAAGCATTGCATTATCACTCAAGATCTAGCAAAATCTTAAAACACCTGTAAGGAGTGTCTTCCAATCTTCCCTGCTCTCCATATATGTCCCTGACCCCTACTCTTGTATACTTGACCTTTATCAGGCATTGCTCCTGTATCCTGGAAGATCTCTCCCCTACCATAGGTAGACTGGAAAGAGAGTAGACTGGAAAGAACTTGGAGTTTGGAAACAGACTGTGATTCTTGAGCTTGTTGCTTGAGTGACCAAGTTTTAGTTTCTCAACAATCATACTAATTTCCCACGTTTGGGTTCATAATTGTAGAGATGACAGGATTCTACAGAGATATTCATTAGGCCAGCCTCTGAAGGGTGGGCTTCAGGGCTCCCATTCTGTCTCTTCCATAGTCCTTTGGTCAGGGCTCTCACAAAGTAAGTATTCTGTAAAATATTGTTCAATTGAGCTACTGATTTGCCTCTAGGATTTGGTCTTCTCTAAAAAGTAACCAAAGGGATACTTTTCTAATAGTACTAGGAAGACTATATTCTCTACTACAAAGAACTTCAGAAGAGGATTTCAAGGCCTTCTAAGATACTTAAAACATAGTTCTCTCCCCTCCCAAATCTTGCTCTTCAGAGTGAAAAACAAGATCCATTTTAACTAGGTCTACAGGCATAAAGAAGTGAAATGTAATATACAAATTATCAAGCTTTTGGGAAAGAAGATTTATGGCTAATTGGATTTAGGGGAAAAATTCCTTTTCTAGTTGTCTTCACTGAAGTCCCTCTAAATCTTATGACCTCTCTTCTGCTCCATGTGGTCTGGTCAGCACATGTTTTAGATGGGAATCTTGTAGTACCCTGAGTATTTTGATTTTGATGAATAGGACTCTAAGACTATATGTTTGGAGTTGATGACATGTTTTGCTTGATTTCATTTTCTTTAAGAGGGGAAGGAAGAATATCTGCTCTGGAAAGTAGGTAATCTAGTGTGCCAGGGCACTTCATTCATTCATTCATTCATTCATTCATTTTGACTCTACCATGTGCCAGCCCTTCTGCTAGGCACAGGAAATTATTTTATTTATTGATTTATTTGGGAGAGAAATTTTTGCCATAGGTTGCATGCACTCACCAGAGAGACAGAAAAAGACAGAAAGTAAGAAATCACCCCCAAGGGGAGTTGACCAGGCCACCATTTTCCTCCATTCTCTCAGAATTTGGGGCATGCACACACTTGTGCCAGGTGTGTTTCAAGCTGCAAGACCCAGGCTCAAACTGCAGTCAGCCATGTGGGAGTTTAGTACCTTAACCACTACACCACCTGCTGGCCCCAAGGCATCGGAAATTTTAATGGTTAAGATACCATCCCTTCCCTCCTGACCGCATGGTCTAGTAAAAGAGAAACAGGAGAGAACGATCGTGTTCTACGTGCTCAGTGCAGCATTGCAGGTCTACACAGACATGGCAAAGGCTGAAGGAAAGGAACCACCAGTCATGGAAAACGAGCCATTTCTATTTCTCTACTAACGCAATCATTCCTTCCTGGTGACTTCTGGCAGGGTGGGTATCATCCTAGGCTACATGCTCTTTTCTCTGCCCCACAGGGGAAGGGTCCCGCCAGCTCCTGGATGCCAAAGTCAAGCTGATCGCCAACACTTTGTGCAACTCCCGCCGACTCTATGACCACATGATTGACGACAGCATGATTTGTGCAGGAAACCTTCAGAAACCTGGACGAGACACCTGCCAGGTTGGAGGCTTCAAACAGTATTTGGAGGAGAGGCTCTTGGGGCATTACACTGGGCACAGAGGCTCCTTAGAGCCCTGGCCTGAGGGTCAGGTTCAGAGGTCCACCTGCTGTAAGCTTATGCATAGGAGACATATCTGTCCCTGGTACCCTTGAGTCCATGTCAATTTAAGACAATTCAGCATAATGAGCATGGCATTCATTTTGTCAGAGTTCTCATAACACTCTGATGAATGGAATGTCATTATCACCATTTTACTGGTGCTTACAGAAGTCACCTTACCTAGAGCAACCAAGTGGCAGGGCTAGAATTTGAACAACCCAGGTATCCAGGACAACAGTCTTTTCCATTGTATTTAACTATGAACATGGAACTTCTGGTCTCCATATTTGATAAGATATCTGAAATCCCAATAAACAGAACTGTCCAAAAGACCACTAGCTATGAGAAATAAGTAAGGCCTAGAGATCCCACCATAATACAAACTAATGGTGAGGAGTTAAATGTGTATGTGTGTATGAGA